ACCAGCACACAGAGCCTAGACGGGGACCAACAAGGACTTGACTTTTCAGAACAAAACACAACATCTAGACACTTTGTGTGGATTCTGTTTTGGCTTACAATAGAGTCCTGAAAACTATAAGCTGTACTTTATGTTGTTGTTCTGTATCATAGTGAGGATATTAAAATATGGAACATTAACCTATAAGCGCCAAATAAAACTATGACAGTAACTACTAACATTGCCAAAGGCAATGTGAGGTCAAGTGCTGCTGTCTAAAAAGTTCCTATTCGTAATGGTATTTGACACTTGCTAGAACCATAATTTTACACCTACAGCTAAGCACTGTAGGTAAGAAAAATTTGCCTTAAGGAAAATAGATTCCCCCAAGAAATTGTTTTGATTTTCCTGCAGAATGAGATAAAAAGAGAAAAGTCAAAGATAAATGAATTTTAAATTGAGGTTTCTAGAACATGAATATGAGATTATTGATTCCTAAGCATGATAAAATAGTTGCTGCATATAGAACGCATTTTAAAAGCAGAAAATTTGATAGATAAATTTGGTCCACTGAAATTTACTGTTCACACAAAAGGTAGTAAAAATAAAAGGCTATCAATTGGGAACTCGAGCACAAAAGCTTTAATATCAGAGTGCTATCATTTCCTCCTTTTTTGATAGGCCTACAAAAGCCAAGTTTATTCTTTCTTTTTCCTCTTTAAAGTAATTCTTGGTTTCGGGTGATAAATTAGAAAGACATTTCTGTCTTGGGATAATTTCTGGAAAACATAAATATCATATCTATAAGGTAGCCGTCTACTACAAAAGGATGCAAAAATGTATGCTCAGTCCCTCAGTCGTGCCTGACTCTGTGGCCCTGTGGACTGTAGCCCTCCAGGCTCCTCTGTTCATTGGATTCTCTGGGAATCATACTGGAGTGGGTTTCCATTTCCTTCTCCAGGGGATCTTCCTGACCCAGGTATCCAACTCGTGTCTCCTGCATTGGCAGGCAGATTCTTTACCACTAGTGTCACCTGGGAATCCCGCATGGAAAAGTAGTGTTTTCTAAAAGGAAAAAAATGAGTCCTCAATTTCCATTAGGTAAAATAGAAATGGAAAGGTCCAAGATTCTAGAGACCATAGGATCCACAGCTCTGACCAGTTCTTGACCAGATTGTAAGTATGGTTTATATTTTTAGTAGATTGCTACCAATCTGAAATATTTGTTAATCTAACTGTAAAAGTAACTGATTTCCTCTTTAATTAATTTATGACTTGAGTATTTCCATCATTGGTTATCAGAAACTGGGTGAGGAGGCATAAATGTAATTCTTGCTTAACTGGAGAAAAAAAGGAGCAATTCTCAAAAGAATGAATCTGAACTAGATAGCTGGCAGACAGGACTAAACCAGATTGCACATTAAAAAGAAAGAAAGAAAGAAAAAGGAAACAGCATACCTACCCTCTAAACCCTTTCTTATTCAAGAAACTAAATACAATTATACTTCCTGAGCACAGTCTCATGCTTGAGGGAAACTGCTGTTCCCTGTGCTACGTGCTACACTCAGTAACTCTGAGACCCCATGGACTGCAGTCCACCAGGCTTCTCTGTCCGTGGGTTTTTCAGGCAAGAATACTACAGTGGGTTGCCACTTTCTTCTCCAGGGGATTTCTTCCCGACCCAGTGATTGAAACTGCACTTTCTGCATTGGCAGGTAGATTCTTTACCTCTAAGCTATTGTTCCCTGCATGCCCTTAATGCTAAGGAACTGGACATGACAGTGAGTGTGTGTCCAAAGAAGTGAACAGCTTATTGCAGGTAGTTTTGTACCAAAGAAACGAGGAGAGCTGGATTTTGCTAAATGGAACCCTTGTTTATGGAGCTAGAAACTGAATATAGGTTTCAATGCTCTGATCAACGGCTTCTTTTTTTGGCCACGCCCCACACCTCGTGGCATCCTTGTTCCCGGACCATGGATCTAACCCAAGTCCCCTGCACTGGAAGCTCAGTCTTAACCACTGGATGACCAGGGAAGTCCTCTTTGATGAACTACTTTTAAAAGTCTACACTCTATAAGTATTTCTCCAGTGTCACCATACTAGTTGATAATGGGTGAACTGAACTTTCTTTCTCTAGATGAATAATTTATAGGAATATAAAACAAAACTAAGTCCTAACTTCTTTTCTATACTCTCCAGGCTGGTTTCCTCTGGGGAGAGGAAGGTTTAGGATAGAGCAAGTTCATACCATCAAACCTGATGTGTGGAATTACTGGACAGTTGAAGTGTTTCGGCAAGGTAGAAGTAATTTTTGCCAACATTAGTGAGGATGCTGTGGCGGTACTACTGTATCAAGGGACACACGGAAGAAATCCCAAAGGGTCAGAATGCTGGCTCGCCTAGCTCATCTCATCTTAGGAGAAATTATAACTGCTAGTGGTAACGAATTCGTCTGCCAATGCAAGAGACACAGATCCGATCCCTGAATCAAGAAATTGTATTCTAGCCTAGGAAATCCCATGGACAAAGCAGCCTAGCGGACGACAGTGCATGGGGTCGCAAAAGAGTCAGACACGACTTAGTGACTAAACACCAACAACAAAGTGAATAAGCTCTAAAGTAATAAGAAAAAGGAAAAAGCTTCACATTCACGAATGTGATTATAACAAAGGAAACAGACAGGAGATACTCAAGAGGCTAAAATCTTAAATCTGCCTCTGAGCTGTCTCAATCAAATTATACATCTTTTTTTTTCTTTTTTTGCAGAAGGAAAGAGTGGCTTTATTTCTTTGCCAGGCAAAGGGCTACAGCCTCAAGAACTGTTCCCGTCATATTATAAATCTTTTGATCTTCAGTGTACCTACCTGTTTCTGTTTTGATCTCACCAGGTTGGAGAGAAATACTAGAAATAACAACTGTCAGAAACATAATATGGTCACTAAATCCTCCAAACTTTTATTTGTTTTAAATAACAAAACAATGTAGCTACATACTGGCTTGTGATTTTTTTTTCACTCTCCACACTCCACACTGACTTAAATTTAAAGTAATAATGGAAAACGAAAAGAAAAGTTACAACAGAAAGAAATATATAAAAACAAGTATATTTGAGTTTCCCTGGTGGCTCAAATGGTAAAGAAACTGCCTGCAGTGCAGGAGACCCAGGTTCAATCCCTGGGTTGGAAAGATTCCTTGGAGAAGGAAATGGCAACTCACGGCAGTATTCTTGCCTGGAGAAGTCCATGGATAGAGGAGCCTGGTGGGCTACAGTCCATGGGATCACAAAGAGTCAGTCATAACTGAGCGATAAACACACATATTTGGAAAATGGGCCAGTAGAATAAAGGTCTGAAAACTCTCTCAATACTGAAGTCAGCATTAGTCAACTAAACAGTGAGAGTGACTCACATCACATGTGCAGGGTGTTCTCTTTAGCAATGAAAACAGTACAACAGCAAAAATAATCTGTAAGTTAACCAGGCATTATCAAAAACCACCGACCAGAGTCCATCTTCTGACATGTGAACCTTGCTTTGGGCCAAACTGTTAGAGAAAGGAAACTTAAGATTAAGGCAAAAATCTGGAGTACCGCCTGGGTCAGAAGATATCTGAATACTTAAGTTTATATTCCAAGAGACTATTAAAAAGGGTTACAAGGGTGCCATAGCACCATATTCTTTTTGCTTGAAATAGTGACAAGTAATAATGAGCGGTAATGTCAGTGTTTCTATTTATTCTGGAGAAGGAGAGCTGACAGCTGTAATTCCAGTATTTATATAAGACACATAAGCATATATGTACACATACAGAAAATATAGAGTGCATATACACACATACACAAACACACATTCAGTGTAAGCATGAAAGCAATATTTAAAAAAAACTCACAACAGTAAGTTGGCTCAAATAATATTTCCTCTAAGATCATCTTCCTGGAATTGTATAATTATGAAAATCTCATTACTTATTACTCTGAAAACACAGTGTAAATACCTCAAACTCAAATGTCTAGACAAGCTGGCCTAGAATCAAAATTCTAAAGTCAACTAAAGATCTCAAATATGCTTTCAAATTTGTTTTTGTATTTCTAATATTGAAGAACAGAATAATGAAGAAAAGTATTTAAACTTTTTCTAAGTACCAGAAGCTAAACTGGCCAGAAGCAAGTATAAAGGATTTTAGGTTGCAAACAGAAAATATTTGAGGAAAAAAAAAGTGTAAAGTCCAACTTTTTAAAAGAACATAATTGATTAAAAACTTCAATATCTACTTAAATCTAAAGTATGTGATTGCTGTTAACAGGAAATAAGCTATTTGCATTTCAAGATATTCTATTACAGGATAATAATCATTCTTAAGATGATAAAGCTCTCACGTTAAACCAAAAGCACCAAATCAGAAAAAGGCTGTGATTTCACCACCTGTATCTTCCCTGGGAGCTTTGGCATTTTCCTGAGTTACACGTGAAAATATAACAAAACCATGCACCACTTCCACCACAGAGACAAAGGTAATTACTCCACTAACCATAATATTTTAAAGTGTGAGGTCACAAAATAAAGATCTATCTATATTCAAGGACAATCCTGATGGTAAAAAGTGGAAAAAAAATTCTTAGCTTTCAAAGAGAAAACAGTTCCTTTTCAATCTTCTTCAAACAACATAAGAAAGATGCAGCTTTTGGAGCCAAGCTTTTGGCAATACAACTTGATGGAGTTCTCAACAGACACAAGGATGAAGATATGCAAAAATGTATTCATGTAAAATTCAGGTGTCAAGTCAGGGCCATTTACTCAGCCCTTTATTTAAAGAGGACAAATTCATTTTTATTTTTTAACGGACAAAAATTCAACTTAGATTGTTTTATGTTCATCTATAAATGTGAGGGCTTTCTAATGAAGGCTGACAAACCAGCAGAATAAATTTTCCTGCCTGGAGGTCAAATATCAACTACCCATCTTGGCCACTTAGAAAAATTAACAAAGTAAGACATAACATGTAGGCACACACAGAATAGGTACCTTCAGCTGATTGTTGAAAATATCTATCTCCTGTAATTTTGATCTAGTTTCTTTCTCCACTTCATCCAGTTGGTCTCGTAGCTGCTGCCGAGCCAGTTCTTTTGCTTCTAAGGCTCTTTTAAGTGTGAGAAGTGAATCCCCTGTTTTAGAAAAACATGGCGAGATAAGAAAAACAAACTGGCAGTGAGGAAAAACAGCTTTTCAGGTTCTCATTTCCTGCCTGTGAGGAAGGAAAATGTCAACTTTAAAAAGAAAACACCTACTGTGCAAACTGTTCTGCTGAACTTGTTTCAGTTGGTCATTGAGTATCTGTTTTTCTGGAATAAGTCTTCCAAGCATTTGCTGGGACTCCTAGGAGAGAAGGAGAACACAGCAATGAATGGTGGAAAAAACTGCCATGTTTAGATCAAAAGTCCTGGCAGGAAGAGGTCAATTTTCTGTTCCCTCAAAGATTCTCCTAACCTCATCCCAAATCATCTACAGCGAAACTGCATTTAATCACTAGTCAGGGTTGTTATTGTTGTTTTCTTGCCAAGAAATTAATTGTTTGCCAAATACTTTTCACTGAAATAAAGTTTAAACAAGACAGTTATAGCTCCCTTGATATTTCTTACATTTTTATTGACTCACTGCCTATTTATAAGCTTTCAAAAGTGAACCATAAGTACAACTCAGCAGAGAAAATGGAAAGGAATGATCTCTCAAATTGCACTAAGATGAAATACAAATGCAGTGACCCTGCTATTTGTAAACTGACTCAGTAGTTTAAACAGGAACTGTTCTGTCCTGAACTTTGATCCTTATAGGGTCAAACTGAGGGTGACCATACACCTGAAGTCGGAAACAGAATTCAAAACAGGACTTTAATAATGAGAATCTTAGGTGCCATATGTGGCTCCACCACTGAGGACAAAGCCACAGTTTTAAACAGCTGCACAGAAATCTTGAATCGACTATTTTTTAACTGACATAGATAAAGCTAAACCACATTGTACAAGACTGTGAGGAGTTTTCACAGGTGACTTGAGAAGCAACTGTATTTGCCTAAGTTCAGCTTAAATTATTCAATGTAGTTTCTACATATATCAGGGAAAAAAGACAGCTTTTGTAGCCTTTATTAAGGAATATTTGACTTTTGGGGCTTCCCCAGTGGCTCAGTGGTAAAGAATCTCCTGCAATGCAAACCCAGATTTGATTCCTGGGTTGGGAAGATCCCCTGGAGGAGGGTATGGCAGCCACTCAAGTATTCTTGCCTGGAGAATCCCATGGACAGAGGAGTCTGGCGGCAACAGCTGTGAGGTTGCAAAGAGTCATATAGGACTGAAGTGACTTAGCATGCATGCACGCATGCATTTGACTTTCATTTTTACTCTGACTTAAGAAAAATAAATCTCTATGTATTAACTTTTCATTTGAAAAAGTAAAAATGTCGTCATGAAAAATTTTCACCAGAGGTGAAAAACCAGTCCTTCCCAGAACAACCACTTTTAGATACCGACTGGCTTGTAAGAAATCTTTGTGTACTATACGTCCCAACTGCAGGGCCATATAGCTCAGTGGAGAACAACTGGAAGCATCTTCTCACATGAATAATCCACACAAACAGAAGTACTCTCCCCAATCCTGCCAAATTTAGACAAAACAGAACACACAAATCAGACCATTTTCCCAAAAAAGCATAGCCAACTAACTGGGCTTCTCCTCTTATTCGCCTCATTAAACCACATCTCTGACCCAATCCCAAATTTTCTTTCCTGAACCAGAGCAAACAAGGAAGTATCAAGAGGAGGCCTGGCTCAAAACCACTGAGACACAGAATCTTAACCAGTGGACCACCAGGTAAGTCCCAACATTACTTCTAAATGTACAACCTAACTTTCTAAAATAGGTCAAATCAGTATGAAGGGCTACTTGACTCATTTGCATAGCAAGAATCTGCTAATACTTATAAAGAAAGAAAACTGAAATATCATTGCCTACTATGTACCTGACTTTCTTCAAACTATGCATTATTTTTAACTTCACTGCTTTTTCAGGAACCTTGATTTGTATTTTATTTTCAATAACTAAACACACTAAGCATCAATCGTAAACATATGTATGGGCACATAGCATTCAGTGAGATAATTAATAAACCTATGGTTTTCAGTCCTAAATTTTCTAAGGGCATATTTTATGAAACTTCTCATAAATAGTTAGTGAAAGACACAAAGAGTTAACATAGAAAAGATTGTACTCATGCATGCATTTAAAAATATTTTCAAATAATTTCTAGCAGTGAATTTTTGATACTATTTACATTATATGTCATACCCTAATATTTCAAATCTCAAATTGATTAGGATTTCCGTGATAATCAGGAAAGACACTGAAGATATGAGCAACACTAAGAACCAACTTGATCGACTTACATTTGGGGGACACCCTACTCAGCTTCAACAGAGTACACATTCTTCACAAGTGACATGGAACCTTCACCAAGACAGATCACATGCTGAGCCATAACATAAGTCTCAATAAACTTTAAAGGATTAAAATCACACAGACTGTGCTCACAGATCATACCATAAATAAACTAGAAATCAATCAGACAGCTCAAAAAAAAAGAAATCCAGGTATTTGGAAACTAAACTGCATAATTCTAAATAACCCTTCAAAGAAATGTCAAAGGAAATAAAAAACAGGTTCTGAATGGAATGAATATAAAAATACAGCATATTAAAATCTGTGTAATATGGCTATGACAATGCTTGGAAGGAAATTCACAGCTTAACATGTTTACACATTATCAGAAATCAAAAAAGGTCCAAATTCAATCATCTAAGCTTCTTCTTAATAGGCTAGATAGAAGCAAATTAAACCCAAAATAAGTAAATGGAAGGAAATAATAAGGAGCCTAAGTAAATGAAATAGAAAACAGAGATACCACAGAGAAAAAATAAAATAAAATAAAACATTTATTTAAAAAAAAAATCAATAAAGCCAATTAGTTCCTAGCTAGACTGATGGAGAAAAGAGGGAGGTGGAGGAGAAGGGAGAGAGCAAAAAGAAGGAGAAGGAGAGGGGGAGCTGGAGTGGGAGGTAAATGACACAAATTCCCAGCATCAGGACTTAACATTACTACAGATGCTACAAACGTGCAAAGAATAACAAGAGAATATTGTAAACAATTTTATACAAATAAATTTGTTAACTGACATGAAACAGACACATTCACTGAAAGATACAAATTATCAAAAGACAATACAGCACAAATAGAAAACTGGAATAGTCCTGTATCTACTAAACAAATTTTGCAATTGTAAGTCCTACCACAATGAAATGTCCAGGTCCATAAGGCTTCACTAGTGAAAGCCACCAAAACTTTATGCAGGAAACAGTAATCCCTCGTATCCATGAAGTACTGGTTTCAGGATCTCCACAATGACAGAACTCATGGACGTCCAAGTCCCTTACATAAAATAGCTGAGTATGATGGGCACTCTGAATCCTAGGGTTGTTGAATCTGCACAGGCGGACCGACTGCAGTCTGATAACTATGAAAGGCGGGCAGAGAAAGTCTTTTAGAAATATATAGGGTTTTAATCTTCCCTGGTGGGTCAGATGGTAAAGAATCTGCCTGTAATGCAGCAGACTTGGGTCCAATCCCTGGGTCAGTCAGGAAGATCCTCTGGAGAAGGGAATGGCTACCCACTCCAGTATTCTTGTCCAGAAAATCCCATGGACAGAGAAGCATGGTGGGCTACAGTCCATGGGGTCGCAAAGAGGCGGATGCAACTGAGCAACTAACACTTTCATACTTTGATATAGGATTTTAAGAGAGAAGCTGAAAGGGTTGGCTAGGGAGGCAGGTTGGGGTCAACTTAAGAAGGAAAGTGTTGAAGTAACATAAACTGGGTTAAATTTGGATTCTTGTTGCCTAGCTAGAAACTTATTCCGAAACAGAATATTCCCTTCTAGAATCTTCACTTTCCCACTTATGAGAGTAATGATACTGCCCTTACTAGGGTATTGTGGAATTCTATTTAATATTCACATAAAGGTCTTCACATGCCATGCCTTCAATTCCACTTATGAGAGTAATGATACTGCCCTTACTAGGATAATATGGACATCTATTTAATATTCATATTAAAGTCTTCACATGCCAGGCCTTCAATAAACAGTAGCTACCACTACAGATAGTCTACCATCCAGTCCATCTGGATTCAGCAAGCTTAGGATCAAATTTCAATACAAATATGCAAACACAAAAGGACTATCATACTATCCATTTTACATAAAGAATTTGAACATCCATGGATTTTGGTATCCTCAAATGGAACCAGGGGGCTTGGAACCAGGGCCCCATGAATATCAAGGGAGGACTACCATTTCATATAATTCTTAGAAAATAAAAAAAAATACACCTTATTTATGTACTTATTACCCTGATACCAAAGCTAGATGAGGACATTATAAGAAATGAAACTAATATCCCCCATGAATTTAAATAAAAAGACTCATAATAATAAGTTGATCTAAACAATAATTTTTTAAAACAATAATACACCATGACTAAGAGCAGTTTCAATGAGTTAGACAGGCTGTGGTCCATGTGATTAGATTGGTTTTCTGTGATTATGGTTTTCAGTCTCTCTGCCCTCTGATGGAGAAGGATAAGAGGTTTATGGAAGCTTTCTGATGGGAGAGACTGACTGAGGGGGAATAATTTTTGGGCTCCAAAATCACTGTGGATGGTGACTGTAGCCAAGAATTTAAAAGACACTCCTTGGAAGAAAAGTTGTGACCAACCTAAACAGCATATTGAAAAGCAGAGACATTACTTTGTCAACAAAGGTTCTTCTAGTCAAGGCTATGGTTTTTCCAGTAGTCATGTATGGATGTGAGAGTTGGACTATAAAGAAAGCTGACCGCTGAAGAATGGATTCTTTTGAACTGTGGTGCTGGAGAAGACTTTTGAGAGTCCCGTGCACTGCAAGGAGACACAACAAGTTAATCCTAAAGGAGATCAGCCCTGAATCTTCATTGGAAGGACTGATGCTGAAGCTGAAGCTCCGATACTTTGGCCACCTGATGCGAAGAACTGACTCATTGGAAAAGACCCCGATGCTGGGAAAGATTGATGGCGGGCAGAGAAGGGGACAACAGAGGATGAGATGGTTGGATGGCATCACCAACTCAATGGACATGAGTTTGAGTAAACTCTGGGAGTTGGTGATGGACAGGGAGACCTGGTGTGCTGCAATCCATGGGGTCAAAAAGAGTCGGACACGACTGAGCGACTGAACTGAACTGAACTGAAGGGCAGTTTATCCAAGAATGGAAAGTTGGTTTAACATTCAAATTTAAATCAATGTAAAGCACCATATTAATAAAATAAAGGAGGAAAAAACACTTTAAAATCTCCATAGTTGCAGGTCAACAGAAGGAAATACTGGTAAAAGGATAGATGTAGATCAATGGAACAAAAGAGAGTCTAGAAAAGATTTTTACAAAGGGTGGTCAGCTGATTATCAACAAGCTACTTAGGTTTTTAATAAACATTGATAGAACAAACTGGGTGTCGGTATGGAAAAAAGTGACTCTCACTCCCTTACCTTGCACTTAACATAAAAATCAATCAAAAATGGATCACAGAATTAAATATGTTAGATAAAAGTGTAAAACTTCTGCAAGAAAACATAAGGGAAAACATCTTCAACCTTGGGATAGTCAAAGCTTTCTTGGATAGAACATAAAAAACTGTGAAAGAAAAAATAAATTCAACTTTATAAAAATTTAAAACATCTGCCCCTTAAGAAACACCATTACGAAAATGAAAAGGCAAGCCAGAGACTAGGTGAAAATATTTGCAAAACACCTATCTGACAAAGGACTTCTTATAAGACTATATAAAGAACTCTGATAATAAGATAAGCAACCCAATAAAGGATGAGTTAAAGATTTGTTCACAAAACACATACAGAAGATGCATGCTAATACACATAAGAACCAACACCCAACAACATTAGCCTTCATGGAAATGCAAATTAAAGTTACATGAGACATTGTTACCCACCCACCAGAGATGCTAAAAATAATGACAAAAGGAAGTGTTGGCAAGAGTAAGGAGCAACTGAAGGACTCAAACACTGCTGGTGAGAATGTAAAATGATACAACCACTTTAGAAACAGTTTGATAGACTCTGACATGGTTAAGCACATACTTATATGACAGTAATTCCCCTCCTAAAATTTAACCAAGAGAAATAAAATATATTTCCGCATGAAGAAATATAAGTAAATACTCATTGCAGCTTTAGTCATAAAGTTCAAAACTGGAAAAAACCTACATGTCCCTCAGCAGATGATGGGATAAATAAGGAATTACTACTCAGTGATGAAAAGGAAGAAAAGCTATGACCAACCTAGACAGCATATTAAAAAGGAGAGACATTACTTTGCCAATGAAGTAATGCCAAATTTTCCATCTTCAAAGCTCTGCTTTTTCCAGTAGTCATGTATGGGAGAGATGGACTATAAAGAAAGCTGAACGCCAAAGAATTGATGCTTTTGAACTGTGGTGTTGGAGAAGACTCTTGAGGGTCCCTTGGACTGCAAGATCAAACCAGTCCATCCTAAAGGAAATCAGTCCTGAATATTCATTGGAAGGCCTGATGTTGAAGCTGAAGCTTCAATACTTTGGCCACCTGATGTGAAGAACTGAGTCACTGATAGAGGAGGAGAAGGGGACGCCAGAGCATGAGATGGTTGGATGGCATCACCGACTTGATGGACATGAGTCTGAGCAAGCTCTGGGAGCTGGTGATGGACAGGGAGATCTGGCGTGCCACAGTCCATGGGGTCGCAAAAAGAGTTGGACATGATTGAACTGACTGAACTGATGAAAAGGAACAAAGGACTGATTCACTCAAAAATATGGATAAATCCCAAAACCGTCAGGCTGAGAAAAAGAAGCTGAAATTAAAGTCACGGTGTCCAAATCTGATCACCTTTTAGGATGGTATGCAGAACAGTGCCTACATCAATTGGATACCCCCTCTAACTCAACACTTGAAACCAAACCAGATGAAATTTTAACAACTTAGTGGTGAAGGTTGAATAGGTAATAAAATGAAAGGAGAACAGCTTAGAGTACTCCATTGTGTCTCCAACTATTCTCTATACACGTATCTCTGGAACTCCCCCTGATATACTTAATTGCACTTCTTTATGGCAGTTATCATGGTAAAGCTAAAGTCCCAGGAGTAAACTACAGGTCCTGCATGATCCAGCCCCCAGCTGCTCCAACCACAGCTGTCTCCTTGCTGTAACTGGCATCCCAGAGACCAGCTTACAGCCTCAGCTCTTCTGCACAACTGTTGTCCTACCTAGAACTTTCTCTGTAGATGTCCATCTGGCTCAGTCATTCACCTCTTTCAAGTCTTTGCCCCAATATCAAACTCACAGAGATGCCTGACCTGACCACATTACTTACAATCACAGGCCTCTCTGCTGGAGACTCTCTTCCCTACTTGCTCTCCAGAGCAACTTTCCCTCTTCTAATAGAGAACATGCTTGTCTTGTTTCCTGAGTCCTTGTCTACCCTGCAAACAGAAGGTAAGCTCCATGAGGGCAGGGTTCTGTCTCTGCCATCCACTGTTGGATCCTGAGTGCTTACCGGCACCTGCACTGAGTTGGCACGCAGCAGGCCCAGCACGTGTGCTGAATTACCAGACAGCCGACTTTCAGAGGATGAGCTGATTGGATGGCATCACCAACTCAATGGACGTGAGTCTGAGCAAATTCCGGGAGAGAGTGAGGAACAGCGAAGCCTAGTGTGCTGCAGTCCATGGGGTCACAGAATCGGACACGACTTAGCAACTGAGCAACAGCTACTTTCAGGCAAGTACCCTGCTGCTTCATCTTGGCCTGCTAGATGCTTGCTGCTTGCTGAGTGAATAAGTGAATGAAATGAACCAAAGAAAGGCACGGAAGCCAAAAGGCTTTTAAGGGACACAGCTTCTCACCTGTAATTGTTGTTGTAGGTGGGTGATTTCTGCAATTCTCAACTCTCTAGATTTGTTTGTGCTCTCAATTTCTTGCCTTTGGGTTGTCAATCGACATCTGATATCCTGAAGTTTTCCTTCTAATTGATGTTTTTTATCATTCTTTAACAAGTGAAAAATAATAAGAATCATTAGCATTTAACAATTCAATGCAAGTGGGTTCTCAAAGCACAATCGAACTACTCACTAGAGCTTCTAATTCAAATTCCAAAGTCTTTTTCTTTGCTTTCAGCACAACTATGTCTTCTTGTTCTTTGTTTCTTTGATTTAATAGTTCTTGTCTTCGATTCCGTTCCCATTCAAGCTGTCTTTGCCTTTCAAGCTCCCGTTTTGCAGCCTGTGACATACACAAACAGACGATTTACTAATGGTTCAGTTCTTACACTCTTCAATGTCTCTTAATAAACGCTACATCTAGTAAGTCTTTTCTTTTAGGGATAAAATCGTATTAAACATGACAAATGACTTTCATTATAAAACAGCACAAAATTTCATACAAATATGTTATTACTTCTATGGGAAAAAAAGAGAATATTCAGAAAGGCTATCACAGTCATGTGGGTTGAGAACAGAAAGGACTATTGGATCACTGACATTCAATTCCTCAGGACTTTAAGGATGCTTGGTATAGTAAGTAAACCTGCTCTTCCTTATTTACTGACTCATAAAAGAAAACAAGGAAAATTATGGGAGTTTCCTGGTAGCTAGGACTCCAAGATCCCAATGTAGGATGCCCGGGTTCGATCCTTGGTCAAGGAACTAGATACCACATGCTTCAGTTAAAGATCCCACATTCAAAACTAAGACCTAGAGCAGCCAAATAAATACAACAAAATTATCTTTTCAAAAAAGGCAAACTAACCTAGGGAAAAACCCAGAACAAAAACACAAAGCAACAACAAAAAAACTTTCTTCCATCAAACGAGTAATTATTATTTCTTCTGTCACAGGAGAAATTATTATTTATCTCAAGCTTTAAAAGTCAATGACTCCCGTGTCCCTAATCATTTGTTTCCTTGTTAGCACACAAGGTCCTGCAATGTCCCAGCCACGTGAGCTCTCTTCAGCCCCGAGTCTGGTGGCTGCTGGGCAGAGGATGTATCAGGGCACCGGGCACCCTTCACTGAACCACAGTTGCTTCTTACCTATTTGTGCCCCAGCTATACTGTGAGGGCCGAGAGGACAGATGGGCGCCTAGTCGCCACAGCATCTCCAGGGACCTAACAATGCCTGGCACGCTGTAAACGCCAGTTACATAGTTCTGAACAAACACTCTGAAATGCTTTAAAAAAAACTGAAGAAGGAAGGGTGGTCTATCTTTTGGTTGTCATTCTGGAAAGGAAAATCTTGTTATTATCTGTGTGTGTGTGCCTGAATGAAAAGGCAGCTTACAGCTAGAAGTTTTCAAAAGCAATCATCAGGAGATGAAACCAAAGTATTATTTTTTTATAAAGAAAAAGATCCCTCATCTTTAAAATACATTTCATCCACACAAGCAGACCACGGCATTGCTTCTGTCACAACACACTAAAACTGGAAAGACAGACAAGAGATTGTCTTGGTCCATATCCAGGTATGGCGTAAAATTTAGGAAGCCTTCCATAAAATACAGTAAAGATTACTAGATTTGTTTTCTAAAGTGGAAAAAGAAAAAGATGCCAAACAATTTAATTATTTAGTGTGGTACCATTACAGTGGCTTAAAAAAAAAAAACAATTTCAGTAAACCCTCAGCCTCTCCACCATATGAACCTTTCTATTTCTATATGTGTATATGAATGCAGAAATAAGGCTAAAAAATACTTAATTGATAAGACTAGGTTTGTCATAAGACTAGGTTATCAAAAACTTGTACATGAATGTTCACAGCAACGTTATTCAAAATACCCAAAAGGTAGAAAAAAACCCAAATGTCCATCAAGTTGATGAGTGAATGAATAAAATGTTGTCTATCCAGGTAATGGAATATTACTCAGTTATAAAAAGGAATAGGTATTTATTCAATCTACACACTGGATGAACCTTGAAAGCTATGCTAAGTGAAAGCCACGTATTCTATGATTCCGTTTATCCAAAATGTCCAGAATAGGCAAAGGTATACAGACAGAAAGTAAACCTGTGGTTGTTAAGGGCAAGGCGGAATGGGAAAGGGGAGTAGTAACTCCTTAATGGTTTAAGGAATTTCTTTTCAGGGTGATGAATCAATGGTTATGGTCTCACAACTTTGTGAATAACTAAAACTGCTGCTGCTGCTGCTGCTAAGTCGCTTCAGTCGTGTCCGACTCGGTGCGACCCCATAGACGGCAGCCCCCTGGGCTCCCCCGTCCCTGGGATTCTCCAGGCAAGAACATTGGAGTGGGTTGCCATTTCCTTCTCCAATGCATGAAAGGAAAAGTGAAAGTGAAGTTGCTCAGTCGTGTCCGACTCTTAGTGACCCCACGGAGTGCAGCCCACCAGGCTCCTCCGTCCATGGGATTTTCCAGGTGAGAGTACTAGAGTGGGTTGTAACTAAAACTACTGAACTGTAAAAAGAAAAAAACAAGACTGGGTTAACATATTACTGTTGTATTGTATTCAGTCATTCACTCGTCTCTGACTCTTTGTGACCCCAAGGACTGTAGCCTGCCAGGCTCCTCAGTCCATGGGATTTACCAGACAAGAATACTGGAGTGGGTTGCCATTTCCTTCTTCAGGGGATTTTCCCATTCCAGGGATCAAACCCGCATCTCCTGCACTGGCAGGCAGATTCTTTACCACTGAGCCATCAGGGAAGGCCATGTTTTTATACTTTCTTAAAATTTTGTTTCTTCAAACTTAGACGGTATAAAGAATCTGCCTGCAATGTGGGAGACCTAGGTTCGGATCTTTGGGTTGGGACGATCCCCTGGAGGAGGGCATGGCAACCCACTCCAGTATTCTTGCCTGGAGAATCCCCATGGAGCCTGGAGGGCTACAGTCCACGGGGTTGCAGAGAGTCAGACAGGACTGAGTTACTAAGCACATGGCATGTGGGAATCTCAGTTCCCCGGCCCAGGGATCGGACCTGTGTCTCCTGCCAGCTCCTGCACTGCAGGTAGATTCTTTACCTGCTGAGCCAGCAGGGAAGCCTCAACATACTACTGACGCTTAAACAAGTCTAGAAGAGCAGCTGTTAATGACGGGACTGTCTCCGGCTGCTCACCTCCCGCCTCTCGATGTCCTTCCGGCGCTCCTCCTCCCTCTGCCGCTCCAGCTCCCGCTGCTTCTCCAGCTGCTTTTCCAGCTCCAGCTGTCTTTTGCGCTCCTGCTCCTGGCGCTCCCGCTCCTTCCTCTCCTGCTCCGCCCGCTCCAGCTGGGCCAGGCGCTCCTGCTCTTTACGCTGCTGCTCCAAGAGCGCTTGTCTCCGCTTCTCCAGCTCCAGGTTGCCCCGTTCAAAGTTCTCCCGCTTCTTATCTTCAAAGGTTACTTTCAGACAAGAGACAGGACGATCATGAAAAGCCATATGATGTTCAACAGACATTTTCAAAGGAAAAACTCCATGGCACATCGGCAATGAGTAACGGACCTGCAGACACAAACTCCCTAAGCTTCCCGTCTGCCTCTGCCCTCACGGATAAGCACCAGGTACAGGCCCTTTCACTCAGCGTCTCGTTTACATACCCTCCCCTGCAAATGAACCGCATCACAGCGTTCACAATGCCCAAAATGCGGTTTCTGGAATAATCTTTCGACAGAACTTCTCCATCATCACTCATTCTCCATACCTTCCCTGTTACTGTATCCTTTCCCATTTTTGTGACCTTGATTCAGCAACTGACCCACTCTCTCCTCTATACTACAAACTTCTCCTTTTCTACCTCTTTTTCTTTGGCCACAAAGCATGAGGTATCTTAGTTCCCCAACAGTGTGCAAACCCTAGCTCCCTGGTTGGGAGCCAGGGGTCTTAACCACTGGACCACCAGGTAAGCCCTGCCCTGTCCACCTCCTTGTCCTTCGCATGAAACTGTGCCACTCTGTTTTCAATTTTAATAAACAGAACGGTTGCTGAAAATAGAGGTAAGATGATGTGTCTCCTCCTGGGTTTCACACTGAAGAGCAGGTTGTGCCCTAATCACTTTGCAGAGGACACTCAGTAAACTAGTTTTTCCAACCTATTATTCAGTTTCCTTCTTTGAAGGGCACCAAGGTAATGAATTTTAGTCTATCCTCAGGTCAACGATTTTTTTTCTCTGATCCATGCTCACACTGCTTGCACCCATTTTATTTTACTTCAAAAAAAAAAAAATCGTGCTCCATGTCCCTTCTGTGTTTTCAGCAGTGTCCACTCAGCTTTGTGTTTGCCGCACACGCTTCTGCTGGGAGCCAAGCCCAGACAATGGAAGCTCTTATTGCCACCCTGTGCAGCACACCATTCCCATTGTTCCCAGTCTATTTCAAGACCTGTCACTTCACACTTTGTCTTGAGATATGTAGCTGTGAGCATCCTTTCTTGGCTTCTTCCCACATTACTGCCTGGCCTCCACTGAAGACAGACTTTCCTTATGCACGGCAGTTAGATGAGAGATCAGAGATGGTAAGCAAGTTTTGTTTTCTTTGTTCTTTTTGCTCCTTTAGTGGTTTCAGAAGAGGCAATACCCATTTCACTCACCCCACTTGAAAACTGCAAGTCCTCTCAGCCAGAGAAAGGAAAGAAGTAGTGATACATGCAAACCTAGACAGCATATTTTAATACGCTGAGACATATAATAAGCAGAGACATCACTTCGCCAATAAAGGTCCGTATAGCCTAAGCTATGTTTTTCCAGTAGTCATGTACGGATGTGAGAAAAGTGAAAGTGGAAACCATTCAGTCATGTCCGGCTCTTTGCAACTCCTTGCACTCTACAGCCCATGGAATTCTGGAGGCCAGGATACTGGAGTGAGTAGCTGTTCCCTTCTCCAGGGGATCTTGGACCACAAAAAAGTCTGAACACTAAAGAACTGATGCTTTTGAACTGTGGTGTTGGAGAAGACTCTTGAGAGTCCCTTGGACTGCAAGGAGATCAAACCAGTCAATCCTAAAGGAAATCAGTCCTGAATATTCACTGGAAGGACTGATGTTGAAGCTGAAGCTTGCTGAAGCTGAAGCTCCAATACTTTGGCTACCTGATGCAAAGAGCCAACTCATTGGAAAAGACGTTGATGCTGGGAAAGATCGAGGGCAGGAGGAGAAAGGGGTGACAGAGGATGAGATGGTTGGATGGCATCACTGACTCAATGGACATGAGTTTGAGCAAACTCTGGGAGATGGTGAAAGACAGGGAAGCCTGGCATGCTGCAGTCCATGGGGTTGCAAAGAGTAGGACACAACATAGCAACTGAACAACATTGTGGGTAAAATCTCAAAAATATTATGCTAAGTGAAAGAAGCCAGACATAAAAGAACACCCAGTGCATAATACTGTTTCTATGAAATATTCAGAGGGGGTAAATCCAAAGATACAGAAAGCAGACTGATGATTACTAGGGACTGGGGAAAAGGGAGAATATTGAGTAACTAGCTACGGCCATTGTTTTGGACTGAGTGTTTTCCACCCTATCAATTCACATGTGGAAGTAGTAACCCCCAGTGGGATGGTATTTGGAGAGGGGACCTTTATAATTCGGGTTAAGATAAAGCCATGACTATAGGGCCTTCGTTATAAATTAATGGCCTTATAAGAAAAAGGAAAGACATCTTTCTCTTTTCATGTGCACACATCCAGAAAAGGCCAAGTGAGGATCTGGTGAGAGTGCAGCCATCTCCAAGTCAGGAAGAGCGCCCCCACCAGGAACAGAACTGGATGGCATCCTGATTGTGGACTTTTCTATCCTCCAGAACTGTGAGAAATAAATTTCTGCTGTTTAACTCACCGAGACTAGATGACTTAGAATGATCAATGTTATGTTAAGCAAATTTTACCTCAATTAAAAAAAACAACAAAAACTGAAAGCCCTATATACCTTTTTAATTCCAAAATCTGGCCCCATTTTTAACACACAGAGGCACATAATAAACAGCTGTTGAAAGAAAGAACACATTAACCAAAACTTCTAATAATGTCACATCCTGTTCAAAACTTGAAACGTTGGACTCCCCGGGTGGCCCAGTAGACAGGAATCCACCTGCCAATGCAGGGGACACGGGTCAATCCCTAGTCCAGGAAGCCTCCACACACCAAGGGACCTAAGAGCTTCGGTTACTGAAGCCAGCTCGTCCAGAGCCTTTGCTCAGCAACAGAGAGAAGCCACTGCAATGAGAAGCCCGCACACCGTAATTCAGAGCTGGCCCAGCTCGCCTCAGCTACAGAAAGCCTTTGCATGGCAGTGAAGGCTCAGTGAAGCCAAAGAAATAATTAAATATCTTCCACCAACAGAAAAAGGAAATTCCAAATTCTAAAGATTCCTGTCCTTATTTGCTTGAAGACTTTATTCCCATGATTATTAACCTGAAATGTTCCTCCTTCCCACCCCTGTAATGACCCTATTAATCTTCAAATCTCAACCCCACTGTGACCTCGTCCATAGAGAGTTAACTGCCAGTGTATTTGCCAGTCTGTGCTAACCAACCAGAAGTAAACTCTGCTGTGTATCTATAATTCTGCCTTCAGGAATTTATCACAGTTATGCATTGCTTTGATGGTTTTTTATATGGATGTCTTAAATCCTCAGTTGTATCATAACCTTCTAGAGGGCATGGACCATGTATTATTAACATTTAGATTCTTCACTCTACTCAACACACTTCCACAAAGAACATTTTCAGGAAGCAGTTTATCAGTGAACAAAAAGTAATTTAGTTGAAGAGGAGAGCGGGAGAGCTAGTAGTGTCCTGAGCAGGTCAATTATTCCCTGAGCACTTGAAATGCAGCAAAATGACATTGACAGAGTATTTACCATGAAGAGACTCCATAATAAACTTCATTAGGGTGTCTTAGTACCAATTATCATTTCATATTAATAATTCATAACCACCAGAGAATATTTTAATAGTATTATGAATTTCTCATTGTAAATGAGGGTAATTTAAATTAGGTTCCTATTAAATTTAAAATAGCTTCTTGCTATCAAGGAGCTTTCGATTCTACAACAACATGAGAAAACATAAGTAGGCAACTTTACATTCTATTTCTGTACTGGTGGTATTAAGCCATCACCTTAAAGGCTTATCAATTTTCAGTGCTTTGTAGATAACATTTATAAAATTTCTGATAAGTGTTAAATAGATTTCAATTTAAGAGCTAGAACAAAGGTGCATCAGCAGAGTAATCTTCTTCATTCTACACATATATTAAAATCCAAAAAGCATTTGCAAAGTGACTCCTTTCTGACTAAGGTCAGTTAAAGAAACATAGCAATAATGTCATTAGCTAAATATATTTTACCTCCATCTTTGCCTTAAAGACAGAAAATCTCTAATAGGCTATAAAATTCAAATATAAAGACTGTCTTACCAGGTAGTTTCTTTTCTAGTTGTTGCTGTTCATCTTCCAAAACTGGTTCCTCTGGTAACCTCTGATCCACCGAAGCTGAGCTTATGACAGATATACCACTACCAGATCGAACTCTTCTGCAATTGTGGAAAAAAGAAAATGGTTTCATATCTAGGTGCCAAGATAGAATTGAGCACACCATGAAAAACAACCTTTTAAAGAGTATGCCATAGAAAATGGAGCATATGTCATTTTTGGTGAGAAAAACATAAAGATGTGCTCTTCTCCATTTATATAAAGAGTTTTTAAAAAGTGAATACCTGAATGTCATCAGACTCTGAGTGCCAAGTTCATTAAAATATTTAGAACCATCACAAAATCAGGACAATTTCAAAGGATTAAATCAGTTAATAATCATCAAGTGGTTAGAGCAGTGCCTGAGACACAGTTTCCTTCCTTTGGAATATTAAATTCTTCCAAGGGAAGACTAGCAACTCCGCTGATTGTGAGCATCTTCTTTCCCTTTCCAGAATCTCTACATTTGCTCTCTTAATAAACACATGAAATGCCTACACTTAATAGTCCTTAAAACAAATCACTTAGTTTACTAGCCAGTTTCACTTTCCCCCATTATCTCGCTCTTTTAAACCAGTCTACCTATCTTCTTTCTATGCTTTTTTATGTCAGCTTCCACCTTGCACCTCAGATGGTAAAGAGTCTGCCTGCGATGCAGGAGACCCGGGTTTGATCCCTGGGATGGGAAGATCCCCTGGAGGAGGGCATGGCAATCCATTTCAGTCTTCTTGCCTGGAGAATCCCCATGGACAGAGAAGCCTGGAGATGGACACAACTAAGCAACTAACACACACACATACACATACAAACATACCCACCAGTGTTAAGTGTCTCTTGTGATTCTTGCAGCTGTGAGATTTTATGAACAAACTGTCCAGCTACTGGTTTCTTCCGGCACAGTGTTCTCAGCTTCCCCGTACTTCACATGTGCTGACAGCAGAGGTTCCATGTCTCATACTTTTACGGAGACTCTGCCCCTAATCTTTCCCGACATTGGAGGAATCGGGACAGAAATTCTTATCTGGGCTTCTTTTGTTCTTCTGTGTCCTTGTAAGGGCTCAAATTTGTCTTCTGAGTTAAAGCTTTGAGAGGCAGTTGTCTGAGAGGGCTATGCATACATTGCTGTGTGTGGGTGGGGGATACCAGTCCTCCCAAATGGACTCTGAGCTACCCTCTCAACGTCTCCACTGAGATTGTATTTCAGACCAGGATAATTTCTTTTCATTATTTTGCTGATTATAATTTCTACATTGCCAGCATTTTGTCACCTCTGGAATGTGTCGAATTCATAGGCAGATTCTCCATGATTTATTTTCTCTGTGCAGACTGATGTTGTCTCACTTTAACTGCTAAAGTTATTTGGTGAGTGTTGATTACATGGATTGTCTCAAAAGCACCAATTTGGTGATGTTATGCTTGATTGTTTTACTAACAGTCTATTTAAGTACTTTAAAGAATGGAAGAGGCAAAGATTAAACACAAAAGCTGCCTAAGAAGATTCAGTTCAATATGTGGAGATTTCATTCACTTGCCAAGAAGAAAAAATGACTGTAAGATATACAGCCAACAAAGCCAAGTTTGAAATTAACATACTCAACACACAATTTCTTATTAGAACCAAATATTCCTTACCTAAAGGAAGGTGGAATGTATTCTGGGGGCAGGACCGGTGGCAGTGGCTGGCCAGACATAGCTACATCAATGAGGTGCATAGCCAGGATAAATTCTTCCGCTGTGAGTTTTCCATCTTGATCAATGTCAGAAAGATTCCTATTCAACAGAAAGTTCATTGTAATCTAGTTTCATGAAAATGCATGCTTGTTACCATTCACGAGTGATTTCAATGATCTGTTTTCTCATTCTGACTCTGTACCAGTTGAGTCCCTCTGTACCTCCATTTATAAAAATCGTACCGACTTCATACCACTGTTACAAAGACAAAATGAGACAACCCATCTAGCTGGGATGGTGTTCAGCATTCAACAGAGGCTAACTGTGATTATAATTACACGCTTCTCAGTCCTTGCACCCATTTAAAATATGTCATACTCACATTCCATGTGTGTTTAAATACCACACTCCACAGACTATCAGGTCAGATACTAAATATTTAAGTTTTGCAGACCACACAACCGCTATCAAACTGAATTCTGCTGCTCCAGCAGGAAACTGGCCACAGACAGTATACAAAGAAATGAATGGGCACAGCTGTATTTACAACAAAGCTTCACCTACAAAATCAGCTGCAGACCAGATTTAGCTCACTGGACCAACCCCTGATCTAGGATTCCAAGGGTGGATCTTCACTGCCTCCAACCAGAGGCAAGGTGTTTTCTGTTCCTTAACTTCACGATTTAACCACCACTGTTCTTTATAATCCTAATTAATTTAGGATTAGCTAATTAAACAGACCTTCCCCAGCAAGTCCAAGATGTGACTTCTGAAAAAAAACTGGACACCAAGAAGAGAATGCAAGACAACAAAGCAGCTGACTGAAATGTCGGCAGGACAGACGCTACCCTGGGCAACTAATCGGGCTTTGCTGACGCCATAAGTCAAGAAACCCGTCCAAGGTCTGAAACTGCCTTAGGTGGCACAAGCTCTTTTTTTTTTTTAAAGGTACAATTTCCATAATGTCCACCCCTTTTGTACAGTACGGTTCTGTGAGTTTTGACAAACACAATCAGTTGTATGGCTACTACAATATACAGAACAGTTTCATCACTGCCCCAATTCCCCTGTCTCTCTACAGTAACCCCTTCCTTGCCTCCAGACACCGGTTAACACATTTCACTATATGCTAGTATCATGAAAACAACCAGCCTCCATAAATGTGAGGTCTTTAGCTTTTATTTCAGAGGGTCCTAGGATACTGGTACCTATCCAGACTTCAAGAGGTCTCGATGTGTCACAGAGATAAGATGTTTGCTAACTGGTCTATCATTACTCTAATGCAAAAGGTAGGCTCTTTAATACAAAATAGAAAGGGACAGGCTGGGCTTGACCTAGAGCTTGACCACTTATGAAACAACCAAATCAACGTGCCTGCAGCAAAATCAGGAACCTAGAAGGTAAGCGGTGCAGACCAGGTTTATCTTCCCAGCAGAATCAATGAATAATGCATAACTGAGACAGAAACACTCCTGAAGAAACCATTCTAGTTAATATCTAAGTGTAAAGAATCCTATAGGATTTAGGCAATGCTCATCAATAGCTACTAAAAATCATTACAGAGAACCCCCTGGTGGTTCAGTGGATAGGACTCTGCTTTTCCGTTGCAGGGGGTACAAGTTTGATCCCTGGTTGGATAACTAAGCTCTTGTAAGCCATGCGGCGCAGCTGAAAAAAAAAATTAATTACAAAATAGACAGAGAGACATTTGTGTGCCTCCTGATAAAAGTACTTAGTATCATCTCTGATGCGCTTTGCAAAAAAAAACACAAAAATCAAATTTTAATCTGACAAGTGGTTCTCCTCAGATCTGAATCAGTGGTTCTCAAATACTGATTGATTTGGTACTGCAAAGAATATCTGTCAGTGTCTGGAGATACTTCTGATTGTCACATGGCGGGGGTGGGGGGGGCGGGGAGTCATACTACTGGAGTTGGCAGAGGCCAGCGAAGAGTTATCATGCCAAAGCTGACCAGCACTGAGGTGGAGAACTCCACCTTAGATCTAATTTCCAACCTATAGGAAACACAAGGATGAATTAACACCACAAAAGCTGACCAGCACTGAGGTGGAGAACTCCACCTTAGATCTAATTTCCAACCTACAGGAAACACAAGGATGAATTAACACCACAAAAGCTGACCAGCACTGAGGTGGAGAACTCCACCTTAGATCTAATTTCCAACCTACAGGAAACACAAGGATGAATTAACACCACAAAAGCTGACCAGCACTGAGGTGGAGAACTCCACCTTAGATCTAATTTCCAACCTACAGGAAACACAAGAATGAATTAACACCACAAAAACTGACCAGCACTGAGGTGGAGAACTCTACCTTAGATCTAATTTCCAACCTACAGGAAACACAAGAATGAATTAACACCACAAAAACTGACCAGCACTGAGGTGGAGAACTCTACCTTAGATCTAATTTCCAACCTACAGGAAACACAAGAATGAATTAACACCACAAAAACTGACCAGCACTGAGGTGGAAAACTCTACCTTAGATCTAATTTCCAACCTACAGGAAACACAAGAATGAATTAACACCACAAAAACTGACCAGCACTGAGGTGGAGAACTCCACCTTAGATCTAATTTCCAACCTACAGGAAACACAAGAATGAATTAACACCACAAAAACTGACCAGCACTGAGGTGGAGAACTCTACCTTAGATCTAATTTCCAACCTACAGGAAACACAAGAATGAATTAACACCACAAAAACTGACCAGCACTGAGGTGGAGAACTCTACCTTAGATCTAATTTCCAACCTACAGGAAACACAAGAATGAATTAACACCACAAAAACTGACCAGCACTGAGGTGGAGAACTCTACCTTAGATCTAATTTCCAACCTACAGGAAACACAAGAATGAATTAACACCACAAAAACTGACCAGCACTGAGGTGGAGAACTCTACCTTAGATCTAATTTCCAACCTACAGGAAACACAAGAATGAATTAACACCACAAAAACTGACCAGCACTGAGGTGGAAAACTCTACCTTAGATCTAATTTCCAACCTACAGGAAACACAAGAATGAATTAACACCACAAAAACTGACCAGCACTGAGGTGGAGAACTCTACCTTAGATCTAATTTCCAACCTACAGGAAACACAAGAATGAATTAACACCACAAAAACTGACCAGCACTGAGGTGGAAAACTCTACCTTAGATCTAATTTCCAACCTACAGGAAACACAAGAATGAATTAACACCACAAAAACTGACCAGCACTGAGGAGGAGAACTCTACCTTAGATCTAATTTCCAACCTACAGGAAACACAAGAATGAATTAACACCACAAAAACTGACCAGCACTGAGGTGGAGAACTCTACCTTAGATCTAATTTCCAACCTACAGGAAACACAAGAATGAATTAACACCACAAAAACTGACCAGCACTGAGGTGGAGAACTCTACCTTAGATCTAATTTCCAACCTACAGGAAACACAAGAATGAATTAACACCACAAAAACTGACCAGCACTGAGGTGGAGAACTCTACCTTAGATCTAATTTCCAACCTACAGGAAACACAAGAATGAATTAACACCACAAAAACTGACCAGCACTGAGGTGGAGAACTCTACCTTAGATCTAATTTCCAACCTACAGGAAACACAAGAATGAATTAACACCACAAAAACTGACCAGCACTGAGGTGGAAAACTCTACCTTAGATCTAATTTCCAACCTACAGGAAACACAAGAATGAATTAACACCACAAAAACTGACCAGCACTGAGGTGGAGAACTCTACCTTAGATCTAATTTCCAACCTACAGGAAACACAAGAATGAATTAACACCACAAAAACTGACCAGCACTGAGGTGGAGAACTCTACCTTAGATCTAATTTCCAACCTACAGGAAACACAAGAATGAATTAACACCACAAAAACTGACCAGCACTGAGGTGGAGAACTCTACCTTAGATCTAATTTCCAACCTACAGGAAACACAAGAATGAATTAACACCACAAAAACTGACCAGCACTGAGGTGGAGAACTCTACCTTAGATCTAATTTCCAACCTACAGGAAACACAAGAATGAATTAACACCACAAAAACTGACCAGCACTGAGGTGGAGAACTCTACCTTAGATCTAATTTCCAACCTACAGGAAACACAAGAATGAATTAACACCACAAAAACTGACCAGCACTGAGGTGGAGAACTCTACCTTAGATCTAATTTCCAACCTACAGGAAACACAAGAATGAATTAACACCACAAAAACTGACCAGCACTGAGGTGGAGAACTCTACCTTAGATCTAATTTCCAACCTACAGGAAACACAAGAATGAATTAACACCACAAAAACTGACCAGCACTGAGGTGGAGAACTCTACCTTAGATCTAATTTCCAACCTACAGGAAACACAAGAATGAATTAACACCACAAAAACTGACCAGCACTGAGGTGGAGAACTCTACCTTAGATCTAATTTCCAACCTACAGGAAACACAAGAATGAATTAACACCACAAAAACTGACCAGCACTGAGGTGGAGAACTCTACCTTAGATCTAATTTCCAACCTACAGGAAACACAAGAATGAATTAACACCACAAAAACTGACCAGCACTGAGGTGGAGAACTCCACCTTAGATCTAATTTCCAACCTACAGGAAACACAAGAATGAATTAACACCACAAAAGCTGACCAGCACTGAGGTGGAGAACTCCACCTTAGATCTAATTTCCAACCTACAGGAAACACAAGAATGAATTAACACCACAAAAGCTGACCAGCACTGAGGTGGAGAACTCTACCTTAGATCTAATTTCCAACCTACAGGAAACACAAGAATGAATTAACACCACAAAAGCTGACCAGCACTGAGGTGGAAAACTCTACCTTAGATCTAATTTCCAACCTACAGGAAACACAAGAATGAATTAACACCACAAAAACTGACCAGCACTGAGGTGGAAAACTCTACCTTAGATCTAATTTCCAACCTACAGGAAACACAAGAATGAATTAACACCACAAAAGCTGACCAGCACTGAGGTGGAGAACTCTACCTTAGATCTAATTTCCAACCTACAGGAAACACAAGAATGAATTAACACCACAAAAACTGACCAGCACTGAGGTGGAGAACTCCACCTTAGATCTAATTTCCAACCTACAGGAAACACAAGAATGAATTAACACCACAAGGGCGCAACCAGCTAAAGGTGGGATGCAAGAAAGCATAGGACAAATGATCTGGGTGTTTTTGGTGGGGGTGGGTAAGGGAAAGGGGAGAATAAGACCAAGGGAAATTTATAGGTTAAAGGAGACTTAAAAGGTATATCAACCATCTGTTACAAAATATAGATTTATTTTAGTCCTGATTTGAACAAATCAGCTATAAAAAATTATGAGACAATCTATGGAATTTAAACACCATCTGATTAACTTAATAATAAGAATTCCTATTAACAGTTTTAAGTGGACTTTTAGTATTATGGTCATGTAGAAAAAAATTCCTATGTCTTTTGAAGATACAGGCTGAAATATTTGCAGATGGAAATGACATAATGACTGAGATTTGGCTTAAAATAATTGAAAGGAGGAGGGCAGAAGCAGGACTAGCCACGAGGGGACATTTATTTAGGCTGTGTTATGAGTTCTTGAGAATTCATTATATTAATCTCTCTGCTTCTGTATTTTTAAAACTCAAAAGGGGGAAAGTAAAAGGGACAACTTTAAATCATTTTAACTACTGAATCACTGTGAGTTAAAACTCACTGAAAAATTAAGCATACTCCCCCTTATAAAAAAATTAAGCATATATCCACCTTATAAATAACGGTGTCAATCTAAAGACTCATGAGGCCCTATCTATTTAAGAAATAAAATTTCCACTTTATATAAACCAAGGAACTTTTCATTCCTTACCATATTGAAGCCAGCTGAGCCTGTGGTAAACTTGATTGCATAAGAATAGTTCTTGCTTGGGGACCTAAATGAAAGCCAGGGGAAAAAAAAATAAAGATGAATCAGCAAATCTTCACTGTCTAGGAAGATCAGTGTTCTGCACACAGGTACTATGCAATCTCATGCAATCACAGTGCTTTAAACAATATTTGCTATTACCCAATGGGCTTTTCAATAAGGAAATTAAGTCCCAGTGAAAAAGGGAAAAAACACCAAGCATAGCGCCTGGCACACAGCCAATAAATTTTTGTTAAATAGATGTTTAATGAGGGATGAGTATGTAAAATATTAGAGTTTCAATATTTAACCTGCCCTTTGGTTCAGGTGACCATCTCTATTTGTATCAGGTTTTTATTCACAAAGCTGAAATGTGTCCTCTTTAAATGCAATATCATCTGCCACTCCCTGCCACCTCCATCATGATGACTATCAAATTTAGACAAGATTCAGAGAATCTCAGAAGAGGAAGGGGCCTTAGAGAAAACTCTTCTACCCATTTCATTATACAGACTTAAAAAAAAAAAATTTGCTCATGGTTGCATAAATGGCCAATATCACAGCCATTTCCTAGGTTTGGTGATAAAGAAGAATTTCTGGAATTTCAACTTTCCTCTCAAAATTAGCTCTCATTTCTTAAAATACTTGTATATATATCTTCATTTCTGGCATGAAACTAGCTTTAGATACCAGGAAGACCACAACAGAAGATTTTGAATGTTTAAATAAACTAGTGTTAAGAAGAGAGAAACAAATGTCTCATGTCCTTCACTGATGTCCAAGGGGTGGGCCAAGGATGACAGGTAATAGATCAAGGAATGAAAAGTGGTAGCAATTATACTGGGAAGATTACCATGTATACTATTTTGCTTGGTCTTTGGTATACTGGAATGAGGAAAGTTCACCGATCATTTTATTTAGCCTATAACACTGTATCTAGAGGGCTCCCCTGGTGGCTGAAATGGTGCCTGCAATGCAGGAGACTGGGGTTCGATTCCTGAGTCAGGAAGATCCCCTAGAGCAGGGAATGGGGCTACCCACTCCAGTATTCTTGCTTGCAGAATTCCATGGACAGAGGAGCCTGGCAAGCTACAATCCATGGGATTGCAAAGAGTCAGACATGACTAAGCGACTAACTCTTTCTTTCACTGCATTTAGAATACTGGCAATATTAAAGTAGAATCAGTAAAAGTTTAGTGAAAGCTTTCATTTATACTTGTAACAACATTGTGCCCACTACAGAACTACATAAAAGAAAGTTCATGTTTCATTTACTTTATAAAAAATGCAACAATAAATTTAAAAAACTAGCCCTGGACCTGGATCCAGGGGATATGGCTTTCACTCTTGACTCTTCCACTCTCTAATGACATGTGACATTAACAAAATCACTTTCCCTCTCTAAAAGGAAGTTCTTTCGTCTCTGAAATGAGGGAAATGATCTAGAACAGGGATTGGCAAACCACAGTCCATAAGCATTCTCCAGTCCTCCAGCTGTTTTTGTAAATAGAGTTTCACTGAAACATAGCCATGCCCATTCATTTAAACACATTATGACTGCGTTCATACTTCGATGGCAAAGCTGAATAGTTACGACAGTGTATAACTGCAAGCCTAAAATATTTAGTATTTTGCTCTTTACAGAAAAAGTCTGTGGATCCCTATTTTCTTTTGCAATTCTAATATGGGACTCTGTTAAGTCTTAAGGACAGGTTAAGAAACATTAAACTAGATCAGCAACAGTGAAGACAGTATCTTAGCATAACAGAGCAACCTCCTTTGGAAGCTTATATTCATGAAAAGAGTACTGGCTTATAAGAAAATATTAAGGATATAAACAAAATCTCAAGTTCATAAAGCCTACAATGGGTATCCATGATTGGGCAGGGAAGCAGGAATGTAAAGGACAAGATGAATGAATGAAGTCAAAGGTTTAGTTCAAAGGATGACTGAGACTTTTTAGCTTCTGAGATTAGCATATGAATAACCAAATAACACAGTCACTGTTTCAGAATGCAAGGAGATAATAAAATACCTCTTTGAGAAAAGGACTAGCAAGAATAGCAGTTTCAGAATTCTGTGTGTGTGTTAGTCACTCAGTCGTGTCCAACTCTATGCAAACCCATGGACTGTAGCCCACCAGGCTTCTCTGTTCATGGGACTCTCCAGGCAAGAAAACTGGAGTGGATTGCCATGCCCTCCTCCAGGGGATCTTCCCAACCCAGAGATCAAACCAAGGTCTCCTGCATTGCAGGCAGACTCTTTAACATCTGAGCCACAAGGGAAACCTAGAATTCTAGAGCTACTTATATCACTTTGATTAAAGAACTCTTTGTGTTTTATAAGAGTGTCTCTTAAGAATATGCAATAGTATATATATACATCAAGTTGGGAAGGAACAAGGGGATATCCACCTAAGGAGGCATATCAGATAAATCAACTCAGAGAATCATCACTGACTCAATGGACATGAGTTTGAGTAAGCTCCAGGAGTTGGTGATGGACAGGGAAGCCTGGCGTGCTGCAGTCCATGGGGTCACAAAGAGCTGGACACGACTGAGCGACTGAACTGAGCTGAATCAGTGGGGTGAACTTTGCTACTGCTAAATATTTCACTTGTGCCTCTTTCCATTCTGAGAACTCTTTTCAACTTCCTTGGTATTCCTCTTACTCTTCCTCAGTTCTGAGACTGAACTGAGTAGCTGCTCTGGGGGGTGATGTCATCATGACGATAATCCTTGACTGTCATCCATCTCAACAAACCTGCTCTGCTTCCCTGCACAGTCTTCTTTAGCTTAAAGCACACTCTACATTTGACTCCTCACAAAGGGAAAACAAACTACATTTCTTTGATTTATTCCTATTTAAAAATTTACTGTAACAAATTATTTTTCATGACTATACAAAGATCTGGTTTGAAAATGAAATTCCCACCTCAAATGCTTTCCAGGACAGAATAAGAGTAGGTAGTCCATGGGGTTATAAAGAGCTGAGCACAACTGAGCATTTAACGCTTTCAGTTTTCCACTTTCACACAGATAAACAGCAGCAAAAATCTGCTCACCCAGTATATTTCAGTTTTACTTTCTGTCTCAGATATTAAAATTCTAAATACTGAAGTGCCTCTGTCATACACCTTTTACCTGATACAATACCTCCATCATAAAATACACATCCTAACAAGCAAAGAGAATCTGGGCATCAATGTTGCACCTGAATACTATTTTAAGTAACCCCCAGGAAACACCAACAATGCTGTGAAGAAATGTTTTCAGATTCACAGACTATGCAGGTCTGGGTCTGTATGACACATTGTGGTAAAATCTGGTTAAACAGTACTTGAAATAATACCACTGAATATTGGGCGCTGAAGAAATATGAAAATCCGTACCATGAGAGCTGCTCTTGTAGCAGAGTGAGCGAGGCAGACAGAGACTTTGTGTGTATTTATAATTCTCTGTTTCAGGTACAAATATATGCTTATTTGAAATGACCGCTGAGATTTTTTCACTCGGACAGGGTTCATGATTAGACCACAATTCTTCAAAGTCTCACCCAATCCTGACATTTTTTAAACAAGGATGAATTTTTCTTTTGGAAGTATTGGAATTTTAATTATAGCAAAAAAAAAAAAAAAAGTTAAAATAAGAAACTTTAAATGTCTTGATTGTAAATACGAGTGCTTCTCCACCCCAGAAAAATGAACCCATATTCCCCTCCTTTCATATTTGTTAAAGAGCAGTTACATTTTTCCCCCTTTTATATTTAATGTTTGTATTGGAGGTCTCTATTTTCCTTTATTAAAATTATGCATTTCTTTATAACTCTCTAATCGGCTTTACGTGTTTAACCCCTTATTATTGTCACCCTGCTTATCTAACTTATATGCAGAGTACATCATGCAAAATGCTAAGATAGATGAAGCACAAGCTGGAATCAAGATTGTGGGGAGAACTATCAATAACCTCAGATATGCAGATGACTGTTCATGGGGTTCTCAAGGCAAGAATACATCATGAGAAACGCTGGGCTGAAGGAAGCACAAGCTGAAATCAAGATTGCTGGGAGAAATATTAATAACCTCAGATATGCAGATGACACCACCCTTATGGCAGAAAGCAAAGAGGAACTAAAGAGGCTCTTGATGAAAGTGAAAGAGAAGAGTGAAAAAGTTGGCTTAAGGTTCAACATTCAGAAAACTAAGATCATGGCATCCGGTCCTATCACTTCATGGCAAATAGAAGGGGAAACAGTGCAAACTGTGGCAGACTTTATTTTTTGAGGCTCCAAAATCACTACAGATGGTGACTGCAGCCATGAAATTAAAAGACACTCCTTGGAAGGAAAGTTATGACCAACCTAGACAGCATATTAAAAAGCAGAGACATTACTTTGTCAATAAAGATCCAGCTAGTCAAGGTTATGGTTTTTCCAATAGTCGTGTGCGGATGTGAGAGTTGGACTATAAAGAAAGCTGAGTACCAAAGAATTGATGCTTTTGAACTGTGGTGTTGGAGAAGACGCCTGAGAGTTCCTTGGACTGCAAGGAGATCCAACCAGTTCATGTTAAAGGAGATCAGTCCTGGGTGTACATTGGAAAGACTGATGCTAAAGCTGAAACTGCAATACGTTGGCCACCTGATGTGAAGAGCTGACTCATTAGAAAAGACCCTGATGCTGGGAAAGATTGAAGGCAGGAGGAGAAGGGGATGACAGAGGATGAGATGGTTGGATGGCATCACCGACTCAATGGACATGAGTCTGGGTAAACTCTGGGAGTTGGTGATGGACAGGGAGGCCTGGCATGCTGCACTCCATGGGGTCGCAAAGAGTCGGACACGACTGAGCGACTGAACTAACTGACTGATGCAGACGACACCACCCTTAGGACAGAAAGTGAAAAGGAACTAAAGAGTCTCTTGATGAAAGTCAAAGAGGAGAGTGAAAAAGCTGGCTTAAAACTCAACACTGAAAAAACTAAGATCATAGCATCTGGTCCCATCACTTCAAGGCAAATAGGTGAGGAAACAATGGCTACACTGACAGATTTTATTTTCTTGGGTTCCAAAATCACTGTGGACAGTAACTGCAGTCATGAAATTAAAAGACATTTGTACCTTGGAAGAAAACTATGACAAACCTAGACTGTGTATTAAAAAGCAAAGACATCACTTTGTTGACAAAGGTCCATATAGTTCAAGCTGTGGTTTCTCCGGTAGTCATGTGTAGATGTGAGAGTTGGACCATGAAGAAGGCTGAGTGCCGAAGAATTGATGCTTTCAAATTGTGGTGCTGAAGAAGACTTGAGAGTCCACTGGACAGCAAGGCGATAAAACCAGACAATTCTACAAGAAACCAACTCTGAATATTCACTGGAAGGAGTGATGCTGAAGCTGAAGCTCCAATACTTTGGCCACCTGATGCAAAGAGCCGACTCACTGGAAAAGACCCTGATGCTGGGAGAGATTGTGGGCAGAAGAAGGGGGCAACAGAGGATGAGATGGTTGGATGGCATCACCGACTCATGAAGATTAGTCTGAGCAGACTCCATGAGATAGTAAAGGACGGGGAAGCCTGGAGTGCTGCAGTCCATGGGGTCACAAAGAGCTGGACACGTCTGAGCGACTAAACAACAACAACCACCCCTTATTAGAAAAATTTCTGGATAGCATCATAAAATCCTTTGAGTCTTTCTGATGTAGACAACAGAATCTTTTTTTATATTCACAGAGACCATGTAACTTAACTCTGACCTTTTATACATGAAGAAATAAGATCCAAGTAGCTAAATTGACCTCCAGCTGGTAAGTGGCAAGGCCAGGTTCTAAACTCCCCAATCATTCCCCTTTCACCCTGCCCCTGCAGTCATCACTGATTCTTTGAGCAGACAGTTTCAAGTTGACCTACGAAGCTGGATTTCAGAAGATGAGCCAGGTTTTGTTTATAGCAGTGTTCCTTCACTACTGCTTTGATTTGCACACTAGTGGCATTTGGGGTACTGGGGTATCCTTGGTCTAGGTTCTGTTTACCAAGAAGCAAAAGCCTGAGGCAGTGGAGAATGAAGTAACTATGGCCTTATCAGTTGATGAGAACTTATCAATCAGTCGATGAGATAAAAGGAACAATGAAAACACTGTTTAGAAAGAAATACAGGTAAATAAAGCAAAGTCTGGAAAATCTTTGGCCCAATATCTAGAAACAATTCACATTTAGAACGGAGACCATATTTCACTAAATTAATTCTTATGTGTAAATACCTGTTAGGTGTCCACTCATGGTTTTGTCGTGACTATTGAAGAGCTGTCTATATTTCAGCCTGGATGACTGAGGAACGGCCCACTCGGCTGCAGGAGGGACGCTGTGGGAGGAAAGACAGGAGAAAAGGTTAACAGCAAGGACCTGCACATTCCAGTTCTTTAAAAACTAAGAACTTTCTAGAAAACTAGCTTTAACATTTTATTCCCTTTCTAATCACTATTTCAGAATTTTCCATCATGACTTTTTCATTTCTTAAGGTTACAACCCTTTATCTGCATACAGATAAGCTCATTATTTTGAGCTTCCCATTATTTTGAGTAAACAAAGTGGCTGGTTCAAGTTATACACACAATCAAACTAATTTAAAGGTTCTAGGAAAGGATGGAAAATCTCCTCGGAACTGAGGTGATCACAGTAACATCCAGTCTTCTTTTGGTTTAAAAAGCCATGTGGACAGCAAACAAAGGCACTGCCTTTAAAGATATTCATTTTTAAAAAACGTTTAACAATCTTACACCAAAATACAGGATGGATTTCTTAATGAAGGGAAGTTATTTCATTCTGAGAATTTACATGCCCACACATGGAGTTTCTGAGAGAGCAAAGAACACTTCTCGGCAGTGCAGAAAGGAAGGGAAGGAGTTCTGCTTCTGACTGCGGCCCAGGGCTGGTCTTTCCTGCCAATGTGTAGCGCCCTGAGCTCAGGAAACCCCTCACCCGCAGCCAGCTCGGGTGCAGATCTCCCTGGTGATCAGTTCCTTAGATCAGTTCCCACACAGTATCACACTGGTTGTACCCACTGTCTGTTAACAGCTCGCTGTTTATATCGGGCAATTTAAACATGACGATTGAGCTGACAGTAAAAAAGAAAAAATGGCATTCCACTTCCAGGACAGGTTACAACTAATGCCCCACGTGCAATGTCCTTTCATTAAAAAAAAAATCTATTTCTCACATGTTAAAGTGAACTTTTAATCCTCATTTATGTACTTTATCTGTGTCCTTATTCTTACTGTGTACACTGCTTAAAGCACAGACACTGCTCCCAAACACTTGAAAAGTACTTACAAAAATTTACCGTTTCAAGTTTTATGTATTTCTCAGTAAAATCATTTACCGAGGTCTATTTTGCTATGCCTATTTCTGCAACAAACCTCTCATTTTAAACTAATATTTTGCAGATTCCAACTCTTCCCAATTTGTCAAGAAGCCGATATCTCTCCCCTCCACCCCAGGAATGTAGGATATAAAACACAAAGTGCTCAAGACAACACTTATCATATCATAGTTTTCTGCCTAATTCCTGAGAATGTAAACAGGCCTAAAAAGGCATTATCCAAAGTGAGATGCCACATCACACAAACTTTCCAGAAACTTAAGATACTGAAGGGCAACTATTAAAAAAAACAAAAACAAAAACCAGAAAAACCCAAACCAGTGTTTTTATAACCAAGCAGGACGCTGTGGAGTCTTCCTCGGACAGACCTCTCTCCTCATGTTCTCTGCCTCGATCCCTCTTTTTTCCCTCTGCCTGTCTCTTGTTTGCAGAAAAGCTGTGGTCTCCCAGGCCGCACCTGAGTCACAAAGTCTGGCTCAAGAATTAATGATTGAAAGGAGGTGAACGTGTAGTGACAAAAGTCGCAGTTGGGCCAGAACTGGTAACAATTTAAACAGCAAATGTGCCATATGGCAGTCATAGAATCCTTAGTTGCTCCCTGAAGTACCAAGATAACAGGGTCTGAGGCACATTTCTGACTTGTTTTACAGATGCTAAAACTCCACCAAAGGGAAGCTGGAAGCTAAGGATTAGTAACGTCAACCCCTGTTGGCTGTTGTTGCTATTCAGTCGCTAAGTGGTGTCTGACTCTGCGATCCCATGGACTGCAGGCACGTTGTTCCCCTGTCCTTCACTAGCTCCCCAAGTTTGCTCAGATTCATGTCTGTTGAGTCAGTGATGCTATCCAACAACCTCATCCTCTGCCACTCCCGTCTCCTTTTGCCCTCAACCTTTCCCAGCATCAGGGTCTTTTCCAATGTGTGGCTCTTCACATCATGTGGCCAAAATATCTGAGCTTCAGCTTCGGCATCAACCCCTGTGGTATTGCCCTGGTACCTTACCATCAATTAGAGAGGTGTGCAGAAGCTGATCAAACACTCTGTGACTCCCTTCCTTCACCTGACCTTTAAAAATGCTCCCTTGTTGGGAGTTTGGGGTTTCTGAGCGTTAGCTTCCCCAGACTCCTTATCTGACGCCTTACAACATGTATTCGACAATTAACCCACATTACTAGAGCAAATTTTAAAAACATTTGCCTTAAAATCAGAAAGACCTCCATTCAGCTCTTGGCCCTATCACTTATGAGTTACCTTGAGCAAGTCACTTACTCACTGAGCCTCCTCATCCATAACACAGAGAAAATCACAGTCATCTTCTGGAGAAGATGGTGAGCATTAAAAGGGTTACTGTGCATAAAGTATTTGACACAGTGCTTTGCAGCTTATGGATTTTCTTTATATTAATTTTTAAAAGGTAATGAATTTTTTATTCAACATGCTCTTCTCTTTAAAGAGGAAACATGAGTTGATTCACTTAGGAAATATTCATAAAGAGGACTGGAACACGAAAAGATGCAATCATGTTCATTTACATCTTCTCATTTGAAAAGTTTTGAGACAGCTTATCAAGAGACTTAATTTTTCACTTTAGTGCAGCATTACGCAAGGGGAAAATATGGGTAAAATAAAAATCTAAAAGATATTGGGAACCAAGACTGGCCAGAACACAAGGCAGCAGGTCAAGTAAGCTTTACTAAAATCGAGTCACAAATCCCATTAATAAGAGCTCTTCACTAACCTGAATAACTCATTTCATAAAAACTGATCTGGAGTTTTATTAACAATCCACACAGGCTTCATAAGATTATCTGAGATAAACTTAGAGCCAGTTTTGACTCTAAGTGTCATATAAAATATTTTACTCATAAACTTTTTTATTTTACAGCGTGGTGCTTCAGTAGCTATGTCACACAGGCTTAGCTGACCCGAGGCCTGTGGGATTGAACCGCTGTCCCTTTCGCTGGCAGGGGATTCTTAACCACTGGACACCAAGGGAGCCCCGATATAGAAACTTTCAAATGACTGACACAAAATAGCTAACCATGGACTACTACATATTATCATCCTCTTGAAAAAAGAGAAAAAAAAAGCTAACTTTTTTAAGGAAAAGTAGTGTTTCTGATTCTGTCATTGCTACAACAAACAAATAATAAAACCTAGAACATTATCCAGAATTAAGATAAATATTAGCATGCTACAAAGTAAAAGAAGATAAGTAAAGAACACATAGCTAATTCATTTTTGAATTTATGAGTCAATCAGACAACAGCTTCAACCAAAGCACCGTCTGAACACAAGCAGACTCACCTGGCCACGTCGAACGACTGTGCCTTCTGCAGCTTCGTGTTCAGCTGCGAGCCTGGGCCAGATCTGCTGAAGGAAGAACTCTTTGGCAATGTGGCAGCTGTAAAAACAAATAAATGTGGAAAAAAAAATAATAAATGTTGAATAATTTTAATTCTACAAAAATAAGTTTCTCTTTTACAAAAATTAAAATGCATAGTCATCAAAATTTTTTGAGTCATCAAATAATTTCTAAGTCAGAAATTATTCCTCCCTTCTGACCATTCTAGACTTAAAAACAGTCATTCCCTTCTTGCTTCCTGCCCTCTAGCCAAAAATGTTTCACTTGTTCCTTCATAAAACCACCTTACTAGGTAGTAATGTTTACATCCACAAAGTTGGGCTCTTCATTAAACATTTAGTATCACATTTTATAGTATCTGTTCCTACAGTTGAAGAAGCAATAGCTTAAATAGATAGCTGGCATATTCTTAACTGCACTGAAGCAGCTGAAGTGTCAGTTCCAGATGTCAGAGCCAAGAAGTCACAGACCTGTCTCGGCCAGATGACACGTGATGCCAAGGAGGGCCAGCTTTTGAGTCTGAGTCTCATTCAGGCTACGTGTCAGGAGAAAAACTCTGAACCTTAACCAACATTTCCCCCAACCTTGCCTATAGTCTTGCAACAATCGCCATTTGACACAAAAGAAAACAAGACACAAGGCATGGATTCACTACTACCACTAGAAAAATAATCGCAAGCACTTTTTCAACTGCCATCTCACCTACAGTCATGGTCACTTAAGAAAGACAAGCTACCTGTAACGAGAACATCTTAAAAGGTCCATTTAGATTCTATGACTATAACATAGAGACACATCTTGACAGATGTAGTAAATCCAGGAGCGTAGGTAGATCCACATATAAGGCTCAAACCCACACTGTCAACCATGACTGAATGTACTCAGACTTATCTAAGTACTTAAAAGATAAAACAAGAAAAAAATTTACATATTGATATGATCCCACTCAGATTTGCTAGACTAAGGCTATCTACATCTACACTGTATGCTTTTCTCTGTTGTCACTGTTTAGTTGCTAAGTCATGTCCAACTCTTTCGCGAGTCCATGACCTGTAGACCACCAGGTTCCTCTGTCTATGGGATTTTCCAGGCAAGAACACTGCAGTGGGTTGCCATTTCCTCCTACAGGGGATCTTCCCGACCCAGGGGTCAAACTTGAGTCTCCTATAGGCAGTTGGACTCTTTACCACTAAGCCACCTTTTCTTTAAAGGGAAGAAAGACTTTGAATAAAGTCTCAAAATGAAATTAGCTAAGCCAGACACTTTGTAATCCTTTGTTCAAGTAAGCAAGCATGGAACACTATAACCTTAATATAGTCATTCATTAGATTTCCTTCTCCCTCTATGCCTGATTCACTACACCTCTTCAAAAAAAAAAAAAAAGCCAATGTTCTTTTTTATCTCCCACATAATTCTACTCCTAAGGGATTGGCTTGTTTATTAGCAGTTCATGGCAGCTGAAGAAAAGTAGTAAGTGATACATGGAACTAAAAAGTGCTCAAATGCTGTTCAAAGTTGAGCTGTTCTCATCAAGCCCTTGAAAGGAAATTATACTGTTGGTTTTAGCTGTTGAGTTCACCTTTGTGCACAATGGCAGCCAAGGGTACGTAATTTCATGCCCTCTTTCTAGACTAGCTCTTCCCCAAAAGGAGACATTAAATGGAAAAAAAAAAAGATGATTTCTTACGGAATAAAATACTATGTAAATATAATCTGAGTGTGAAAACAGAAAACTTAATAAGAATGACAAGTAAAATACATATAAAACTTCAGCCTGTGGCTTTAGCAGGGCACATACCAGGATGAGCAAATGCAGGCAGAGGCTGTATGACCGGGGGCGCCCCGTTAGCCAGGGGGGGCACCCCTGCTGCAGGAACAGATGATACTAGGGGGGGAGACATCCCGACAACGGGAATGGAACCCATTGGCACAGGAGCAACAGCGGTCAGCGGCGGCATGCTGGCGATACCTCCCATACCTATGAAGGGAAAATCCCAACAAAATTCACATGGAACCACATTTCAGCATTCCACAATAATTAATCCAGGAATGCATGGAGAGGAAAACCCTTTTCTGGTCGCAATATACTCCCATGCAGATTAATCCTTTTGAAAAGTATTAAACATTGTCAATGATCAGATGGAAAGGGCTCAAGACCCTGGCTTAAAGAGAGATCTACTGGCCAGTGTTCACCAAAAAGAATAATAACCACAGTGGACTGAAAGCCACCAAAGAGAAATCAATTCATAAATTCACAATGAAGTACTTTTTGTAAAAAATCCTAACTGGTCACCACAGGAAATCAATTTATTTTGAAAACTAGTAAATAAAGGCAGAAAATTAACCCACGTTCCCTTTACATACTGAACCTCTGAGGAATCAAACATTTGATGAGATTGTTTCTGTTTATAAAAGTATTCTAACAACAACAAAAAAAGAAATGATAGAACTAAACTAAATGTCTCTATTCTTTTTCTTTCTTCTATCCTAACTTGTGATACTGTGACATTATAAGAAATATAGATCTGACCTTTGCCCCAGGTCCTTATTCTTGACAGAGCTCTGACGTGCATGTGAAGTTACTCAGTCGTGTCCAACTCTTTGTGACCACGGACTGTAACCCACCAGGCTCCTTTGTCCAGGGATTCTCCAGGAAAGAATACTGGAGTGGGTTGCCACATCCTTCTCCAGGGGATCTTCCCGACCCAGGAGTCGAACTGGCATCTCCTACATTGCAGGCGAATTCTTTACCACTGAGCCACTGTGAAAGCCAGAAGAACTCCTAAAATCCTTTTAATTTCCTGACTGATAGGAACATCTTCTGCCAAATATTTGGTCTTAGTCCCTGGCTCATGACACAAGAGCTCTGAAGATCCTTGGAATCTCTGGAGTGGGAAGACTGTCATCTTGTGTTTGATGAGACATCAGGGGAGAACAGACGGGGAAAGTGAGCTAATCAGAGGCTGATTTCATCAAGGAAGCCTCTGTTAGGAAACTCCCGGAACAACTCCTACATGATGGACCTCATCTCCACACTGTAGTGGTTATCACATTCGCCACACAACTCCTACACAACAAGTTCTGGAAAACTTCCAGGCTGGTGGACACATCCAGTTCCCAGACAACAGAATCAGGACCCTTTGGGACCTGGCCCTACATACCTCTCCATCTTCCTGTTCATCTGCACCCTCTATAATATCCTTTATAGAAAACCAGCAAAAGTAAATACAAGTTTCCCCAAGTTTTGGAAGCTATTCTAGCAAATTAAAAAAGCAGGAAAAGGGTTTGCAGGAGCCTCTGACTTGAGTCAATCTTAGAGGATATCAACCCTGAAATACTCATTGGAAGGACTGATGCTGAAGCTCCAACACTTTGGCCACCTGATGCAAAGAACTGACTCATTGGAAAAGACCCTGATGCTGGGAAAGATTGAAGGAAGGAGAAGGGGGTGACAGAGGATGAGATGGTTGGATGGCATCATCGACTCAATGGACATGAGTTTGAGCAAACTCCAGGAGATAGCGAAGGACAGGGAAGCCTGGCATGCTGCTGTCCAAGGGGTTGCAGAGTCGGACATGACTGAGCAACTGAACAACAACGTACTCTGTAGTCAAGTCAGACAGTACTAGGACCCAGTACTTACGACTCAAGTCTAAAGTGAGGGCAGTCTTGTGGGACTGAGCCCTTAAGCCTGTGGAATCTCACGCTAAGGACCAGAGTGAGCATTAGAATTGAATTTAATTATAAGATATAAAGTCAGTGTCCGCAGAGTTAGAAAGCTGGTTGGTGTGGTTTTTCTGGATACAAAATTCTTGGCTGATTCCTTCCTTGAGAATCTTAAATATGTCACTCCATTTCCTTCTGGCAGGATGAAAAGTCAGAAGATGCTCTAATTTTCTTTCTTGTTAGCCGTGTGCTTTCTTTTTGCTTGTGCCCAAGCGATTTTTTGTTTTACTAGAATGGATCTTAGTCTTGATCTCTCTAGGTCAATATTCTTAGGCACATGCTGTATTTGTTCAAATTTAGTTTCAAACCTGCCGTGTCAAGAAAGCTGTCTTGAACTAGCTTTTCTCATTTCCCTTCCCTTGCTCTGGTTTTCTTCTTCAGAGGCCCCAACTAACTAGTTAGTCAATTCTCTTAACCTGCATCATTTGGCACTTGTTCTCAAATTCTTTTTGTCTCTTTTGTCACTTCCTTTTAATGCTCGAAATTGTCCTCTTTTTTTTTTTTGCTTTCTGTTTCTCTTCAGTCTCTCCTGTGCTGCCTCTGGTTCACTCTTCATTTCTGAGACAACTTTTACTTTTATGTCTTATTCGTTCCTGAGCAGTCACCTGATTTCTGGAGTTTTAAAAAATTCTGATCTATGCCAGTCGTTCACGACTTGCATCATTTTCTTAAGTGCCTCTCGGCTTGTTTTGAAATAGCAGGTCACTGGTGTGCGGTCACTGTCCGTGCGGGTGTTGATCATCCCTTCGTCCTCTTTTTTCTAATAATAACTGTGTGTGGGATTTGACCCTGCCTGATACTGCCTGTTGCTCCTTTTGATGCATGAGCCTGGCTTCCTGGGCGGGTTTGATCTCCTCCCCCACTTAGGTCTGGACCTTCTCATCCTCCTGTCTCTGTGTCCCTGCCCTGTTTAATCTTTATTCCACTCCCAGTCATTCCTCCTTGGTATGGGATCCAGTCATCAAAGGCAGCCTTGTCGGTCAGTTTGAAGAGCCCATAGGGACCAGATCCTGCAAGTTTTCCAATCCAGGAACAACCCTCATCATTATTCTCTTAACACCATGATTTGTCCATTTCAGTTACCTACTCAGCTTTTAAATTGTCCCTGCAACGATTTTTACCAAGTGACCGCCTCTTCTGAATGAATTGCATTTTCTGGATCAGTTCAGTTCAGTTCAGTCACTCAGTCGTGTCCAACTCTTTGTAACCCCATGAATCGCAGCACGCCAGGCCTCCCTGTCCATCACCAACTCCTGGAGTCTACCCAAACCCATGCCCATCGAGTGGGGGATGCCATCCAGCCATCTCATCCTCTGTTGTCCCCTTCTCCTCCTGCCCCCAATCCCTCCCAGCATCAGAGTCTTTTCCAATGAGTCAACTCTTTGCATGAGGTGGCCAAAGTATTGGAGTTTCAGCTTCAGCATTAGTCCTTCCAATGAACACCCGGGACTGATCTCCTTTAGGATGGACTGGTTGGATCTCCTTGCAGCCCAAGGGCCTCTCAAAAGTCTTCTGCAACACCACAGTTCAAAAGCATCAATTTTTCGGTGCTCAGCTTTCTTCACAATCCAACTCTCACATTCATACATAACCACTGGAAAAACCATGGCCTTGACCAGACGGACCTTTGTTGGCAAAGTAATGTCTCTGCTTTTTAATATACCTCTAAACAAACATATCCCCCAGAGGCTAGGTTTTAGATGCCATCTCTTTTGATGGCGCTAAGTCTCATTTCATGAAATTTTCCACTCTCTCCTCAACCACTGAGATTTCCCCTCGACTCTAAAAACACAGGAGCCTTTCAAACCATCAACACACTATCCTTTAGCTGACAGGCTCCCCCTCACAGTTAAACTCTCTGCCCTCCCAGGCCTCCAGGAGGCTTCTGTCTCTACCACTCCAAAGAAACTGCTCATCAAAGTGAAAGTGAAAGTGTAAGTCACTCAGTAGTGCCTGACTCTTTGCAACCCCAGGGGCTGTAGCCAGTCAGGTTCCTCGGTCCATGGGATTTCCCAGGCAAGAATACTGAAGTGGGTTGCCATTCCTTTCTACAGGGCATCTTCCCAACCCAGGGATTGAACCCAGGTCTCCCGCAATGTAGGCAGATTCTTTACTGTCTGAGTCTCTAGGGACGCCCAAGATCGGGCCCAAACCCATCTTATCAAATGTCAAATCTAATCACTCGTGTGTCCTATTCTTACTCAGTCCCTCAGAAGCAATTCTTCCCTGGTAGCTCAGCTGGTAAAGGATCTGCCTGCAATACAGGGGACCCTGGTTAGATTACTGGGTAGGAAGATCCCCTGGAGAAGAGATAGGCTACCCACTCCAGTATTCTTGGGTTTCCTTGGTAGTTCAGATGGTAAGGAATCTGCCTGCAACGTGAGAGACTTGGGTTCGATTCCTGGGTTGGGAAGATCCCCTGGAGGAGGGCATGGCAACCCACTCCAGTATTCTTACCTGGAGAATTGCCATGGACAGAGGACCCTGGTGGGCTATAGTCCCTGGGGTCACAAAGAGTCAGACACAACTGAGTGACTAAGCACAGCACAGAAGCAACTCAAACATGGAGGCCCTCCCCTTGAAACAAGGTGTGATCTTAGGTGTTCTGCCTACTCTAGCTACACTCTGCCAACCTAAACAAAGGGGGACACTGAATCACCAGAAGTTGAGCTTATGCAGAAACAGCAGAAGAATTGCAATTCTGATGTCTTTTTTTCCCCCCTCTCTTCTCTTTTGGTTGGGAGGCATATGGGATCTTAGTTCCCCAACCAGGGATCAAACCTGTGCCCCCTGCATTGGAAGTGCTGAGTCTTAACCACTGGACCACGAGGGAAGTCCCAAGAATTGCAGTTCTAGACATACCAACTGTAGTAAGCTTTAAGTGAGTCCTTGGAGGGTTTGGGGTGAGCTGGATTTATGGGTAAGGATCAGAAAGGCGGGGGAACTCAATCAGAATCCAAGGAGCAAGTGCACTGGCTTGAGGAAGGGGGGGAGACTCCAGGTGGAGGTTCATCAGTCCACAGATCAGTTCCGGTTTTCTGTACATGCCTGATCAGCAGGACCTCTGTCCTTAAGTTTCATTCTCCTGAGGATTCGTGCCTGAGTTTCTCCACTGCATATCCTCTCACAACTTTCTCCCTAAGATCCTGTATCCAGTCCCAGGGCTTTCAGTGCCACCTGTACTCAAACTCACCAGCGCAGAGAATCCCTCCTGCGCTGCAGACATACAGATTTATCTGCCCCCCTAACATC